TGGAATAGGATTTAGAAAGCAGTTATTGACGTGTATTGTAAAAGAAAATAAACATTTAGGTGATGTTACTGCCGACCGTGCTACAATTTTTATTGATATGGAGTCCCAAGTAAGTCTTACTGCGGTAAATACATACTTGATGCACCAAATTGAACAACGTCGTATGTTAAAATGTAATTAATTTTTAGAGTGAATTAAGATACGACCCGGGTGACCATGTTGGTGTTCTCGCCTGTAACCGGAAAGAGATTGTAGATACTATATTAAGTAGATTAAAAGATTTGGACAATTACGATAAGCCTGTTCAGCTACAAGTTTTAAAAGAGACACTTACACCAACAGGTAAAAACATCGACTTACATTAAATTTAAATAGGAATAAAGTTAAAAAGCACATTACATTTTATACTATTTCATATAAGGTGCAATGAAAAATTGGGAAAAACATGAACGTATGCCAGCAGTCTCTGTACGGGATATTTTTACACGGTTTTTAGACATAACTACACCGCCTTCTACAAAAGTTTTAAAATACCTAGCAACAGCATGTAGCGAACAAAAGGATATTGATTTTATTAACGAACTAGTTGAGGTAATTTATGTTATACGTCATAATATGTAAACAAAACTTATGCATTCCAAATTACTGATGAGACTATATATATGTTTTAATTAATAAAGTGTGAATTTTTTTCCAGGATTCTAACAAATATGACGACTGGAGGCATCACCATTATCCACATTTGGCAGAAGTACTTAATCTTATTCCTTCATGTAAACCGCAAGCATCCTTACTTGCTATGTTACTTCCTCATTTGCAGCCAAGATTTTACTCCATTTCATCAACACCATTAGCACATCCTCAAAGAATTCATATCACTGTAGCTGTTGTTATTTACAAAACACAAGGTATGTTCAGATTAACACTTAATTAAAATTATGTTTCGATAAATTGTCAATTACAAGCTTGTGATTTAAGGTGGACAAGGTTCAACACATTATGGCGTTTGTTCTACATACCTGCAGAGCCTAAAGCCAGGCGACGAAGTAACCGTTTTTATACGACAGTAAGTCCCGTATATAATGCAAATAAAATTAAATTAATTTCTACAATTAAATAAATATTCTTTCGCAGTGCACCAAACTTCCATTTGCCTCAAGACATATCAGTCCCACTTATTTTGGTCGGACCTGGGTCGGGTATTGCTCCATTTAGAGGTTTCTGGCATCATAGAAAATGTCAAATAAAGGATTCAAAGGCAACCAAGATAGGACCGATTTGGTTATTTTTTGGTTGTCGTTACAAAAGTATGGATTTATACAAAGAAGAAAAAGAAGAAGCATTAGCTCTCGGAATTCTTAACAAAGTAATGTTAGCACTTTCAAGGGAAGAGGGAATAAATAAGGTAAATTTAGATTTTAACAAAATCGTTAATTTCACGTTCACATGTTGTAATAATGAAATATTTTCTACAGAAACACGTGCAAGCTCTTCTGGAAGATGAAGGCGCAAATATTATGCACATGCTATTAGAAGAGAGAGGTCATATTTATGTGTGTGGTGATTGTAAAATGGCCGAAGAAGTCAAACAGAAATTAAAACAAATAATAAGTACCCACGCGAACATGACAGAAGAGGAGGCTGAAGATTTCATTATGGATTTAATGGTAATATAATTGAACATATAGTAAATATTTCGAGTCATAACAATGTAACATTTTCCTCGAAATTAGTTAACACCTCAGTACTCATATAGAGTAAAATAATACAAATGGCCCTTCCTCTAGTCTCGTATTAAACGATGGAATAGAAAATTTCATTTAATGTAAAATATTTACAATATTTTATAAAAGTCAGTTTAACTTTTACCCACTGGTTTGGAAATAAGCCTCAAACATTTTTGTTTATTTATTTATTATATATCCACATTTTAATATTGTCTTAATTTTATTAAACCAAGAGTAAATCTAAATAACACATCACTACAACCCTTCAAGTTCACTGTTAAACATAAACCTCTCCAAGGCATGCCCCAAAGCATGGTCTGAGCTACCTGCATCCATCGAAGTCCAGCATCTCTTACCTGGTCTTTACTTCATCTAGTGGAGGGCCACTCTACACTTTGCTTACCGGTACGAGGCTGCCACTCGAGGGCCTTTCTTCCCTATCTGTAGCTGGTTCTTCGAGCTATAATTGTCGTCATCATTACAGCTCTTCATACGTCCACTGCTGAACAAAGGCCTCCCGCAAGGAATGCCACAAAATACGGTCCTGAGCCACTTGCATCCATCGACTTCCTGTATGTCTTACCAGGTCGTCACACCATGTAGCGGCGGTCGCCGTACGCTTCGTCTATGGGTACGAGGCTGCTACTCGAGAACCTTTTTCCCTATCGGTTGTCGATTCTTCGAGCTATCTGGCCGCTTCAGATTACTAATCCGTTAGGCTATGTTGGTCACTCTGATTCCACTTTGGATATCCTCATTTCTAAATTTCTCACAGAGAAGCTCCAAGCATAGCCCTCTCCATAGCTCGCTGAGCGACCTTGAAGTGAAGGACTACGTCTCAGATCCATAAGTCAGCAACACGTACTGGTTGTACAACACGTACTGGTTGTTTTCAAGTTTTGAGGTATACTTGACGAGAAGATGTGTAGTGAGTTCCCGAACGCGGTCCAGACGAGTTGAGTCCATCGATTGACCCCTCGGTCAAAGTTGGATTTACCTAGTCGGCCTATTTGTCCCAGGTACAACTCATCATCAAACATACTCTTCAACAACTTTGAGCTTAGTGTTCCCAACAACTACCGGCATAGGTATATTTTTATGGGATTTGTGTGACAAACGAGCACACAGTCTACCTTATGGTAAGTGGTCGCTGTGGCCCATAGACGTCTACATCTATCTTCGATTACGTATCAAATTGCAGAGGCGTTGTCACCCGTGAGGACTAAGATGGAATGCCTCATTTCCAGTAAAAAGGGTATCCGGTTCTCTACACTCAACATACGAAACACAGTAGCGTTAAGCTGCTAATTTACGCTGGTATTCTGTGAGAGCGTGGTCTTTCTCCGGTCGAGCCGACCCATTCGTGTTACAACTATACCAGTAATATAGCTGCAGCGTAGCTCTACCACGTAAAATAACATGTTCATCTTAAAACTTATCCGTTGAGAGGAACTATTGAGGTCATTGATCATAGTGTTTTGATTTTCATTGATCTTAGGTCTTCCAGCAATTCTGCCATAAGCACTATATCGTCGGCAAATCGAAGGTGAGTGATGTACTCACCATGGATGTTAACACCGTATCCTTTCCAGTCCAGTAGCTTCAAAACGTCTTCCAATGCAGCGGTGAAGAGTTTCGGGGATATACACCCCTCTGCAGTTCGATGGGTTTTGTGCTCTGTTTCTGTACTCGTTTAGTAATCGTAACCTTACTGTAAAAACACTTCAGCACTTCGATATACCGACAGTCTTCGAGCAATATGGCCATATTAATATTCACAACGTCATTATTCATATGTGCTTAACACACGAATCCTTTTACTTGATATTACTTATTCTAACTTTTCTTTGCAGGATGAGAATAGGTATCATGAAGACATTTTCGGAATTACACTTCGCACATCGCTAGTACACTCTGCATCACGAGAATCAGCGAAACGAACGCGACTTGAATCAATACCCAGTTACTTAACATAATAATTTAATATTATGAATACTTACTTATTTACATTTTATAGATAGTTATATCTGATAAATATAGGTTTAACATTATGAAGCGATTTAATATTTAGTTAGCATAGTATTTTAAGTATTAGTAAAGTTTTGTTCTTTCGATGAGTATTCATCAATTAATTTTCAGAAACAAATTTATTTATAAAAGTTTAAAAATTTATCACCGTTGTTTTATTTTTCAAAATATTAAAATATAACATTTGTATTTTAACTTACTTAACTTATGCATGTAAGAGTAAGTTCTTGATAAAAAAAAATTGTTATGTACACGTAATTTGGTGGTTACAGCAATGCTAATTAAAGTTTATATTTCAAAATTAAACTTTAATTAGGTCAGATGTGTAGACATGCTAGAATATTACTAATCATAAATTAAGGAATAAATATTGAAAGAACTTGAACGTTTAGTGAAATAGGTATTTAAGATACTGTAACCACCAAATTACGTGTACATAATGACATTTGGGGAAATAAATAGAACAACGTAAACAAACGTCTATTAATCAAATTTAGCGAACATAATATAGACGTATCTATATCATGTTCACTAAATTTAGGCGTGACGTCCACTGACAAAACGGCACTTCAAGGGATTTTCAGGTGATGAATAGTAATATAATATATCTTAATATTGAGACATTATAGTTGAAAATTTTAATGATAATGGTCGAAGCAACAGAAACAACGCTGCAGTAATTATCTAGATACCATGTCGACAGCCTCTATAATGCCGTGATAGCTCTCGTGTTGCTTCGGCAGCCGTCGGAATGCCAGTAGTATTGACTTCAGTAAACGAGTGGATTAACTTGCCAGCATTTCTCTTTCTATCCGATCACAAATCGGGTGTCTTCATGGCAAGAGCGAATAGGCTTATGTTACGCTAAGACAGTGCAATTTGCCATCTAGGAATTCATTACCGCTTACATCAGGTGGGATTAAAACACTGGCTTATAATAAGAAAAAAAAATATTCAAACAATGCTTGCAGGTTCAGAATTGTTTTTAAAGTTGTAATGATAACTACTTAATATTCCTATAACACTAATATTAAAGAAAAAATAAATTTATTTTATTTTTTAATGTTAATCATATACCTTAACTATATATAATAAACCTCTTAGTATCGTAATGTTTGAGTAATAAGAGATATTTAATTTTAAAACGTGTTTTATTGATTATTATGAAAGCAATTTTAAAAACCTAGGTCCATCACAAATTGCATAAAATGTATGTTTTTAATTTCAGTCAAAGTGAATTCTTATTTATGTCTTTTTTCTCACCACGTGATCATAAATTTCGATTTGAGTGTACATAGGAGAGTACACGCGTTTCTTTGTAGTATTTTGTCCGGGATCTTGTTCAGGATTCGGAAAAATTATTTTATGATCGTGACGATTTTGAAACAACAATCCATCATCAGGATCCATTAAAGGCTAAAATCAAATAAAGCACTAATAAACCACAAAGTCAAACGTCCAGTTTAAATTCATTTATACGTATTCAGCCCGTTGAATGAGGGCTAATAATCTTCCACCAGATGTCGCTAGCTGGTACTGAGGTGGTGTTTTTTGTTACACAATATCCATAATTGGTTTTAAAAATTCAATTTTTGTTTCCAACCCATCTATTTTTAGTTGTTGTTATCAGGATGATGCTGCCGCCCATTTCCCATTTCAGTTTCCTTTTTTGCCTCTTACGGCAACCACGATCTAATATTGGGTAGTAGATTATCTTTTAGAAACGAGGCATTCCATCTCAGTCTTTACGGGTGACAACGCATCTGTGTTTTGATTCTTAAGCGAGGATAAATGTAGATGTTTATGGGCCACAGCATCGACTTACCATCGGGTGGTCTGTGAGCTCGTTTGTCACCCTTATTCTGTAAAAAAAAAACAACGACTACCACGCGTTACTAAAATATATCACGAATCTTATGCGAATCATATGTCATTATCTACCTTACCGTAGTGTTTGGATGATTCAAATTCGTGCTAATGCGAATAAGCGGTAAAAATATTCAAATAATGGAATATTTACGAGTACATTTTTTAATTTATTATTTATTATTATTCGGTCACATCCTGCACCTATAGATTCCGGGGTTCTTCATCCGTTGGTGGGTGCAATTGGGGTACTATAGACAAGCGACCAATAAGAATGCGCGGATTAACGGTACGAATAGAAAATCTGAGGCCAGCGGTTCGACTGCTTCGTTCGGCGGAAATCTTCTGACAAGCGGTTGTCGACTATCTCTATCAACTATTAGTTGTTCACTATTTTTTTAAAGATTAAAAAAATATTGATATTCTTTTGCTGATCACATACCTTGTAATTACGGCTGATGTTGCTCCTCACCGTTCCATGTCGCCAATGGTAATAACCAAGGTCACTATCTTTGGGCCAAAGCATCTTTTTTGTTTTAAAAAACGGCCCCCAATCTTCGGTAATCAACCGATGGGCGTAATCAATGTATCCAGATATTTCAAAACCGCTTTTCGTAAAATGACGTATGAAAATAATTGACTGCAATTATAGTGAAATGGAACAATAGGTAAGAAAATAAGTTACTTTTAAACTTTGCTCATCAGTATGATGTTATGATTACACAACAAGCGACAAACTTGAATGTAATTTTTTTTTATAGAATTAGCGTGACAAAGGAGCACACAATCCACCTGATGGTAAGTGGATGCGGTGGCCCATAGACACCTACATTTATCCTCAATTAAGAAGCAAAATGCTAATGCGTTGTCGCCCCTGAGGTCTAAAATGGAATGCCTCGTTTCAAGTAAAAAGGGGCTCCGGTTCTCTATACTCACCTAACACAATAGCATTAAGCTGCTATTTTACGATGGTATTCTGTGAGAGCGTAGTCCCTTAGATCGAGCATCCATACCATAAAATAGCTACAGTGTGGCTCTACCACGTATAATATTTATATATGCGACATCAATTTTAGACTGTTACATCTGAGTTTCAACCCTAAGGCCCGCTGCACAGCATCCATTACTTAATATTGTGGCATTATGTGTAAATTTTATAGGTAATGATCATACCTACAAAAACAACTCTGCGGGAAGATTATGGATCCCAGATCGGCAGTTTTCTGAATACGTTGTGAGTTCTCGGGATGTTTCGGTATCATTCGGGATGCTCGGTATGCCGATCTAGGTAGAGCTGCTTTACCCCCGTACGGGTTCCCGCCTTGTCGTGGCGGGTGTGGGGGGCGGCGGGTTGTAGGCGTGGCTTGGTCACCCGCGGTGAACAAAGAGGAACCCACATGACTGGCCCGAGGTGGCCACTCCGAGTGAGCTTTGCGAGCCCACTTCGGCTGTGTGTTGGTGGGCTATGGCGAGAGGGGTGTCCTCTTCCCCTACCGCTACAGCCGAGGTGGAGTCGCGGAGGAAAAGGATTGTTGGTAAGGCGTTGCGCTACTCGCCATATGCTCCGCGAATCTGATGGGGCCGCATTGTTGATTAATGTGGTGGTGGTGGTGCAGCAGGGGTAGAAGTGTCTCAGTATTGCGAGGCGCCGCTCTCCCTACCCTCCGCAGCCGAATCTTGGTTGTCGGTGGAGCCATAGACCAGATCCGCCGCTGGGGTCAGGAATGCAAGTGTTTCTGAGTGCTCGTTTTTCCTGGCCGTATGGTCTTCGCGCATCAGACACGAGGGCGTCCTTTGCGTATTTGGAGGCCGTGGAGGAATGCACGCCATATGTTCTGGTGCACCTTACTTGAGAAGGAGATGAAGGACGAGTCCTTTTGCGAGGAGGAGCCCCTATTCGGTTGCCGGCGCTGGTGAGGCCTAGGATGTGTGCGAAAGCCAATATGCGATGAAGTTGGAACACCCTGCAGTTTTAGTCGGTGCGAGTCCGACATAACCCGTCCTTGGCCCCGCGAGACGGGTATACGTAGGCATTCTCTCCTTCGCTAAGAACTGCTCTGAGCACTAGGTCACAATTGTAAATACACACATACCTGTTTATTTAACTTGCAACGCTTTTTTTGGCAGCTCCGCGGCGCGGAGGCTTAGCAATGATTTGCAGCGCTAAAGGCCGCGGGTTCGAGTCCCGTAAGGAGCAAGTATTTGTATGGCCTAGATATAACTGTTCCGGGTCGCATTGTTACTCCTTGTGAAATTTATGTATATAAACCGCCCCCACAATACAGGAAAAAATCCTAGTGTGTAGGTAACATATTAAAGAAAAAGAAAAAAAGTAGTACGCAACAATCGTTCTAAAAAGCGTTAGCTCTTCAGAACAATTGTAGCGTTCTCTTCTTCGATTGTGTTTTCTCGTATATAGTACGCGGCCGTGAAAACATAATCGTGCCTTAGAAAGAGACTACTAGTCACAATCAGCTGGCTTCTACGTTGTAGCATGTACTTGCTGTTATCTGTCCGCGTCGGTAGACGTAATTGAAACTCAAGTAACAATTGTTATTAAAAGTTCAAATTATATTTCGAATTTCATTAGAATCCGTTTAACAATTTTAGTGTGATTGAAAAGTGTGGTTAAACATCATAGTCGGAGAGCTGGCGACAAATTTTGAGAAGGTCCTTTTGGGTAGTTCAAATTGTGAAAAAATATAATTTCGTCAATTGGCGAATCCAGTCCCGCGAGTCTGGCAAAGCGTTTGCGGTTATTTCATTACTGCGCAGCATACAACATTTGCATAAAAAATGATTTTTTGGCAACATGATTTCTTTTATATCTTTTAAATTAGTTTTTATGTAATTCAAAAAAAATAATCCCTGGCCTTTTTGTCGGTTTTAAAATATTATGAGACCTTTCTAAAAAATATTTTATTAAAATCAAGATTTTTCTTACATCATCATCCGATTCTCAGCTATATTCAAAATTTCAAGTCACTAGCTCATCGAAAAGTTAGTTTAAAATCAATTACTAAATTCGACCCGAACAGACATACACAAAAGCGAGTTAATAAACACGAGGTAAAAAGTTTCTAAATATCAAAACATTATAAGTATAGGAAAGTGTAGTATCATAATATCATATTTTCTTCGCACCTGCAATATGCCAATTCTGTTCGCACGTTCCCTTATCGCCATTTCCCTTTTAAACGGGTCTTGTAAATCAGCTCCTTCACTCACGAGAACATATGGCCTTATTACTGGGTACACAATGTTGTGAATAACAGCGCGTCTAGCGTAAAATTCCTTCTCAGATAGAGTATCACCTGTGGCTCTGTAAAAATCAGTTATAGAAATTATTATCAATTTAACCTCGGTCTTAAAGCTCAAATAATCTGTGTTTATTTTATTAGTCACTTATTGAAATCAATTATATTATTATTTGCACATTTGTCGTGTTTTAATCAAAGATTTTCAATAGGCGGACTTAGCCTTGTAACAAATTCCGTCGGTCAAAATAAATCGAAAAATAATACAAAAAATTTCGCAAATAATACCTATAACCGAGTGCAGCGATAATCCGAGCGGATGCAATACTCCTCAGATTTCGCAAATCAGCAATTTCTATAAGTGAATCTAAATAGTCCTCCCATGTTTCGAATGGTAGCAGTCGTCTGTCGGCTTCCACTCCCGGGGGATATTCGTTTTTCTTTTCAGCCATAGCCATGATTTCTGTGATAAATATGCTTTCCTAACATAGGAGATAAACTACAGATAAATTTTATAATACCGATATGGTTTACTATGTTTACAAATTTGACAATGACATAATTTAAAACTTGTTATCAAAGAGTATAAAATCACGTCGTTTTACTCATTATTTCAATTAGAAGTCCAATGTCAATACAATACAAAATCAAAACTCAATTGTACGACCAAAGAGTAAAAAGTATGTTTTACGAAAACTCGCACATAATTTTCCGTTTAAATAACACAGATTTATTTTATTTATAATAAAGAAAAGTTTTTCGTAAGTGCGCCAACTTGCAGACATTATTTAGAAGATTAGGTGATAGGACTACTCTACTGCTTAGGACTATGTCTAGGTAGGTAGGCCAAAATGGTGGCCAACTGACCCAGACATACCTCTTTCTGCCGACAAGCAGCAGTTCATGCAGAGCTTCTTTTTGGGGACCCAGTTCTAGATTTAAACAAATTTATTTCATTAGCTTCGATTCCCTCCAATTTATATAGTTATCTTTTTTTTTTTTATAGGATAAGGGTGACAAACGAGCACACAGTCCACCTGATGGTAAGTGGTCGCTGTGGCCCATAGACATCTACATCTATCTTCGATTAAGAGTCAAAATGCAGATGCGTTGTCACCCGTGAGGACTAAGATGGAATGCCTCGTTTCCAGTAAAAAGGGTCTCCGATTCTATACACTCACCATACGAAACACAGCAGCGTTAAGCTGCTATTTTACGCTGGTATTCTGTGAGAGCGTGGTCCTTCCCCGGTCGAGCCGACCCATTCGTGCTACAACCATAATATAGATGCAGCATGGCTCTACCACGTATAAATCTTAAATTATCTTATAAAATATTTACATAAAATATAATTAAAATGCTATTGTGATAATATTATATATTATCATATTAATTTACCTCATATCATGCAAAATAAATGACAAATTATTAAAAATTGAACTCGTTTTAATAAATTAATTAACAATATATGTGCTCTAAATAAACAATAATTAAATACCTACTGATCATTCTACCTACGCATAATCTATTATGATAAAAAAAACCGCGCATGCGCGGTAAGACTGTTTACGGCGCATGCGCAACGACATAGATTAGCGCACAGTTTTTGTTTGTAATAGCTGTTCTGGTAGGTAAGTAAGTACATTATACTTCAATGGGCCAAGTGCGTGTGCGTGCCCGACACGCACTTGGCCAATTTTTTTATATATGTTGTATAGATAATGTTTGCGACAGAATTCTCCTATAATATACGCAGAACATTTCAAAATACTATTGCATGCCTTAGGCGAAAGCGCAAGGTATTGCATGCCTTAAGCGAAAGCGCAAGGTATTTCATGCCTTAAGCGAAAGCGCAAGGTATGTTCTACTATAGCCTAAAAATTAAGATTCCAACGTTTTATCGAATAAAATCGTATCTAGCAATCATATTATACATATAAATGATATAAAAAGCACATTGTTAGAAAGATAAATGATAGTTATTATTAATATTTTTTTTTAAATCGATTTATTGCTATTTTTAAATAAAAAAGGGGTTTTAGTGGCTTATGGTGTGGATTTATCATGTCCCCAATGCTTGTAAACACGATAACTTTTGAAAATATAAATTTTTTAACTCAATCTGTTTTTTAATCTCTAAATCTATTATGTGGGAAGCCACTGAATGTAAATGGCAGTGTAATTTTGTTTTGTTTAGCTATAATTAATTTTTTTCGGCTCCAAAATGGCGAAATTTTCGTTGATTTGGTAGCCTTGTATGTAAATTATTTCTGTAAATGGGGAGCTACAGCCACAGAGTAGTTTACTCACACTCTCAGTAATCTGTGGCCGTCGTGAGTGGACATTGTTTCGGTTGTTTGCAGCGGCTCAAAAAGATCGCTGTATAAATACACAATATTCGAATAACCAAATTTCTTAAATACTTGATTATAATAATAATAAGAGATTTTTTTATTACAATATTTTAAAAGCACAGAATAAATAATAGTAGTACGTACTAAAAGTAAGTAGTACCAATTTTTTTGTCATGGGTGACATTTTCATGGTTTTCGAGGGTGTTGAAGCCGATAGTGCTGTCGAAATGTAAATCCAAGGTGGCGGCTGCAATAGGTATAAATTTTTTCATCATGTGTGTCATTTTCATGGTTTTCAAGGGTGTTGAAGCCAATAATGTTGTCGAAATGTAAATCCAAGATGGCGGCTGTAATAGACATCAATTTTTTCATCTTGGGTGTCATTTTCATGGATTTCGAGGGTGTTGAAGCCGATAATGCTGTCGAAATGTAAGTCCAAGATGGCGGCTGCAATAGGTATCAATTTTTTCATCATAGGTGTCATTTTCATGGTTTTCAAGGGTGTTGAAACCGATAGAGTTGTCGAAATGTAAATCCAAGATGGCGGCTGCAATAGGTGTTTCATGGTTTTCGAGGGTGCTGAAGCAGATAGTGCTGTGGAAATGTAAATCCTAGGTGGCGGCTGCAATAGGTATCAATTTTTTCATCTCGGGTGTCATTTTCATGGTTTTCGAGGGTGTTGAAGCCGATAGTTCTGTCGAAATGTAAATCCAGGATGGCGGATGAATTAGGTACCAATTTTTTCATCATGGGTGTCGTTTTCATGGTTTTCGAGGGTGTTGAAGCCGATAGTACTGTCGAAATGTAAATCCAAGATGGCGGCTGCAAAAGATATCAATTTTTTCATCTTGGGTAGCATTTTCATGGTTTTCGAGGGTGTTGAAGCCGATAGTGCTGACGAAATGTAAATCCAAGATGGCGCCTACAATAGATATCAATTTTTCATCATGGGTGTCATTCTTATGGTTTTCGCGGGTGTTGAATCCAATAGTGCTTTCGAAATGTAAATCCAAGGTGGCGGCTGCAATAGGTATCAATTTTTTCATCATGGGTGTAATTTTCATGGGTTTCGAGGGTGATGAAGCCGATAGTGCTGTCGAAATGTAAATCCAAGATAGCGGCTGCAATAGATATCAATTTTTTCATCATGGGTGTCAATTTTTTCATCATGGGTGTCATTTTCATGGTTTTCGAGGGTGCTGAAGCAGATAGTGCTGTCGAAATGTAAATCCTAGGTGGCGGTTGCAATACATATCAATTTGTTCATCTTGGGTGTCATTATCATGGTTTTCGAGGGTGTTAAACCCGATAGTTCTGTCGAAATGTAAATCCAGGATGCTGGCTGAATTAGGTACCAATTTTTTCATCATGGGTGTCATTTTCATGGTTTTCGAGGGTGCTGAAGCAGATAGTGCTGTGGAAATGTAAATCCTAGGTGGCGGCTGCAATACATATCAATTTTTTCATCTTGGGTGTCATTTTCATGGTTGTCGAGGGTGTTGAAGCCGATAGTTCTGTCGAAATGTAAATCTAGGATGGCGGCTGAATTAGGTACAAATTTTTTCATCATGGGTGTCATTTTCATGGTTTTCGAGGGTGTTGAAGCCGATAGTGCTGTCGAAATGTAAATCCAAGATGGCGGCTGCAATAGGTATTAATTTTTCATCATGGGTGTCATCTTCATGGTTTTCGATAGAGTTGAAGCCGATAGGGTTGTCGAAATGTAAATCCAAGGTGGCGGCTGCAATAGATCTCAATTTTTCGTCATGGGTGTCATTCTCATGGTTTTCGCGGGTGTTGAAGCCACTAGTGCTGTCGAAATGTAAATCCAAGATGGCGGCTGTAATAGATATCAATTTTTTCATCATGGTTGTCATTTTCATGGCTTTCGAGGGTGTTGAAGCCGATAGTGCTGTCGAAATGTAAATCCAAGATGGCGGCTGCAATAGGTATTAATTTTTTCATCATGGGTGTCATTCTCATGGTTTTCGCGGGTGTTGAAGCCGATAGTGCTGTCGAAATGTAAATCCAAGATGGCGGCAGAAGTAGGTACCAATTTTTTCATCATGGGTGTCATTTTCGTGGTTTTCGAGGGTGTTGAAGCCCATAGTGCTGTCGAAATGTATTTAAACTACTTTAAAAAATTCCGTATAATCATGTTATACGTAATTTTTTTAGTGCGCTTAAGGCATGCCCAATTGGATTTACCAATTTTTTTATTTTATTGCTTGAATTTCGAATTATAAATACTAACTAATCGGGTGGGCTATTATCATTTCAACTTACTCGGGTTACTCTGATTTCACAGCATTGGCCTGGACGGATTTTATTTATATCTATCTATAACTATCTATAATTCAGGTCGTTCAAAATGTGGAAAGTAAGAAGACACGTCGTGTGGTGCCCAAAAAATAATTCCACTGTCGTCGGAAGTTTGTGTATTGTATCTTTGTATCTTCGATTCTTAACTTAATTTTTTTTATTTTTTGTTATTTCGTTGTTTTTTGTCATTATCAGTTATCATACCTACATCGCAATATATTGAATACGTCTTTATTATTACGTAAGTATTATAATAAAAAAGAAACATTTATTTCAACCACATACTCTGGTTACATAAACTTATAATTTACATTTCTCTAAATATTTCTATTTGCAAAAGCTTTTACAAAAATTTACTTCGCAAATATCCGCGTTATAAAATAAAATGATGTGTCTTACCTAGTATGAAGAAGCACCTCCCGCCCTCCCTCAATTGACTCTACGGTGGCTAACCGCACTTAGCGGTTAGCCACCGTAGAGTCTATATCACCTGAGGATGCCTCGTGTAGAGGCGAAACACGTGTCGTATTATTGTCAGTGGTGTGTCTTGCCTAGTGTAGTGGTGTTGGAAGTAGCGGTGCTGGGATTAGTGGTGACGGGGTTAGTGCACGCAATTGAGGGAGGGCGGGAGGTGCTTCTTCATACTAGGTAAGACACATCATTTTATTTTATAACGCGGATATTTGCGAAGTAAATTTTTGTAAAAGCTTTTATATAATGGATTTCCGCAAAGTAACGCCTGATTCTATTAATTATATTTCTATTTGCTTTTTTTTCTTTTT